ACCCAATCATTCTGAGGTGGAGAGGAGCAGATAGCCAAGGTTCGGCCCGGGCCGCATCAGGACGCCCGGCCAGCCCCCCGCCACAGAGAAGCCACGTCCATGACCACACCACCACACCGCCAACGGCCAAGTGCACCCCCCCAGCCAATCACCTCCCGGAACCCGGCAGCCACCCCGGCCAGGGGCCCACCCACAGGAACCAAGAGCCACACCTTAGGAGACCAAGCAGCACCAGGGAGGATGGAGAGCCGGCCCCGACCCCGGCAACCGTCCAAGCCCCGAGCCCACCCACAGCACAGGACCGCACCTGGCGGCCCGCCCTTCTTCAGGACCCCCTCCCCAAATGGCAGTCAGGGAACGGGATGGGAGTTAAGACCCTGACACACACACCCCTTCCCCCAGATGTACTGTTGGTGTGTGTTGTTCTATAGAGTAATTAAAAAGGGAAAGAAGAAGAGACAGAGGCCGGCGTGGTGCCAGTTTCCCCTCCACCACTACTCTAACCCAAAACCCTAAGTGTCTATATGCAAACCTTGGGGGGTGGGCACAGGCACAGGAGGCGAAAGTGGTACCATCCGGCCACCTATAGCCATGAGTGCCCACCTTAAGTTCCTATATGTGAATGTCATGAAAATGTTAAGAGTGAATGTCTAAGATGTACAATAAAATTTGGGGCCCAGGTGGTTATGGCAAATAGAAATGTAATATTGTTGCTCTTATAACACACCTGTGCCCCCCAAAAAAACCCTACATGGGTGAAGTTGAAAGTGAAGAGGATGGAGATGTGCAGTGAGGGATGGGGAGAATAAGCTGAAGGAGCAAAATGTTCCCACAGGGAGTCAGCTCCCCCGTTGGCCCCAGTAAGTCCTCCCGTTCCCTGAAACCCACCCAGGAAGAGCAGCCCAAATACCTCTCCCTCCAGGCAAACTGCCAAGCCCACGGAACCCCAGACCATGGACTGACGGAGCCCCAAAGGCCACCAGAAACCGGGACCAACGCTCCACCCCCCCCAGAGCCACCCAGACCCCCAAAACCCGATCCCAGCCCCATAGCCGGCCCACCGCCCAGAGAGGCCACCGTTCCCCAGCAAGGACGACCCGGCCAAGAGCGCCCACCCAACCGCCAACAGAGCAAGGGGGCACCCAGGGCGGGCACCCGCCATAGCACAGGGGCCAACCAGGCGGCCCAGCATGGCCCCCAGCCACCACCAAAGGCCAGCAACCCAATCCCCACCCCAGACGACATACTACACCCACCCCAACATTCGGGCCACTATCAGAACATATAACACAAAGACACCCAGGCTGGGTCGACACCCCCCCCCCACTAACTCCATGTCACGCCCCCAGCCTACCCTACCCCTCAGCCCATGAGAACCAC